TCCGGTTGCATGTTTGTTTTGCATAAGCTTTATCTGCCTGTGTATTTTCTCAGCAGCAGCTGTGTAACAACAGTTGATGTGATGAAGTATTATGAGAAGGTTATCCCAGATCTTACAAGGTCTTAGGGCCGCCCACCTTGACAAGAAGTGCTGCCATCTAGTTTTTTGCTGGCTCAGAGCACAGTTAAGTCTCATGGCTGCCTGCAAATGACTGGGGAAACATCTGCTACACAAAAAATAGACCAGACAGACCATCTGCAATGAACTCAGGAAGGTTCTCACCTCTGTCCATTCACAGAGCCTGGATTGTCTTCACTCCCATAAAATGTCTACGCTGCAGTCAGTGTCTCTGTACATGTACATCTGTGTTTGTTGGCCTTCTGGATTTTCTTGTGACCATGTTTTTCCCCTTCTTTTACAGAGTTTTAGTCCTGGAGAGAGGAGAAGTGGTGGAGTGTGGTAGCCCAGACCAGCTACTTCAGGAAAAAGGCATCTTCTATAGCATGGCCAAAGACTCAGGCTTGGTGTAGCACTTGAACTTGGTTAGTTTGCACGGGAAAGAGGGAGGTGACACATTCAGAGAACTGTAACTTCCCCTGAGCTGGGGTGAACCAGGCAGTTCAGTTTCAGACCTAGTGAAGTCAGCCAGAACATGGCAATGGAAGTAACATAAAAATGCAATTTTCTTTTTTTTTTTTTTTTTTTAATTCTCATTAGTATTGATTTTAGCCAGCTTTAGGAGAAGCACATACACTGTGCAAAACACTTAAGAGACTTATTTTTGCCTGAAATCTGTCATTATATGCTCAAATATAAGGCGGAGTGATTCATCAGAGAAGTTCAGAAAAGCTTTTTCTTTTCATCTGCTGTTATGTTCTGAAACCCCCCTTTGCCTTTTTTGTTTAAAACATTTTTGCAAATGCTAGTTATTTGCTTGTTTGCAGATTCCTCATTTGAAGAGCCATCTATTGTGGGATGCACTCGGAACATTTTGTGGCATATAGTACTATAGTCCAAAGATTTTTCTTCTTGTGAAATAACGTGTGCCAGACTTTCTCATTATGGCATTTACTGTACATGGTTAATGCTTTTATGCATTCTCCAAAGGTTTCATGTGTTTACAGTGTATAGCAGCAAGTTCACTATAATATGTCAGTAGTGCTGGTGTGAAAAAGCACAGTCAACTTCAAAGCAGTATTTAAGCATGTCTAGAATGACAATCGCTCCGAAACCAAATCCTGGCAGCAGTGGGTGTGTTGTGGTGTGCAGTACCTGACCTTACACCCGGTTCACTCAGGAATTCTGACGTGGGTGGTGAATCCTCCTGGTGGTGCCTGTGGGGACCAGGATGGGAAGTGAGGATTTGCCTGAGCGGAGGTCGCAGGCTCGGTGTGACGCTGATTGTAATATCCTTGGCTTTGGCAGTTCTGTGCTTTAATAGAAGCTCTGCCACATCCAGGACCACTAGCCTTATATCAAAGAAACATGCCCTTCATGCTGCTGCTGTTGACTCTTAAATTTTGTGGGAAACTGTTCTGTTACAGTTGTTTAAAAAAAAAAAAAAGTTTTACTGTTTTTTAAGTTGTGTGTCGGAGGGGTCTAAATTCAATTAACAATGGAGTCTGGTTTTCAAGATCTGTGTTGAATGTTCAGTTTTCTGTGGGAAGAAAAAAAGTTACTTTTCTCGTGTTCTGATTAGTCTTATTTAAAGGAAAATGCTGGAAGAAGGCAAACTCAGTCAGATGGACCCAATACTCAGCACTCTGAGAATGTGGACTTCTGTGAATGATGTTGCTGACCTTAATACTAGACAATTGTCTTCTTTAGAGTAAAGCTATTTATTTTTTTGTAAATTATGAATCTCTGAGATTGAATAGACCGAAATTTTCTTTGGTATTTTTTGTAATGACTATACAAATATTTGCAAAGAACTTGCAATAAAAAAATTGAAAAATAACCTGATGTGTCATTTCTTGCTTTATATTTGATAAAGGGTTAGCTTTGGCAGTTCAGGTTTTTGCCTTGAAAATAGAAAACAGAAATTGTTACTGCTTAGACTAGCCAGGCTGCTGAGACTGATGTCTGGGGGGTGTTAGGGTGGGTAAGAAACCTGGAGTGCAATACCTGTCTGCTGTGGTAGGGCTGGTTCACACCTCGTGGTTTCTCTTGGAGTTTGAGCAGAGCAGGATTCAGTGGTGCTCCACACCTTGGCCGTACCTGTGGTGTCTCTGGCCAGTGTCTGCCACATTTCCTGGGCAGCTTGGTGTTGACTTCCTCTGTGGAAATGGAATAGGCAAGAGGTGTTGGGAGTTTGGGGAGAAGCAGTAGGTTTCGGTTTTTCGAATCACTTAAAAACTTATGCAGTGTTGTGATGGACAGAAGGGTGGAAAGATTGGAGCAAACGGTTAGTCAGGAATGGAGTATAGAGCAGAGGAATGAGCTTGTCAGGTAAGGTGTGTGGCTGGTATTGTTTTAATAACTGCATTACAGTGGAGACAGATCTATCTGCAGAGGAGGAACTGTGAATACCAGTATGAGACCTTGCCCGCTTGGGCACACTCATCCTCCAGGAACACCTCCTAGGAGAGGGAGAAGGGCCACGGGCATTGGACATCCAGGCAGTAAAGCTCCCTGTGCTCTCTCTGCCTCCGCAACTAGTTACCACCAACACCTTCCTCAGGGCAGAGCTGCAGAGAACATCAGGATTTCAAATACCTTTGAAAAGTCTTGTGGGTTTAGTGTCACTGGTTACTGAGCTGGGGACTCTGCAAGTACTCTGCAGGTTTGGGGCTGAATTCAGAGGGAGCTGTACTGCTGGAGTTCTTACTTGGTGGAAACTGATCTCACATTTGAGGAAATGGTGCTTTCCATCACACACCGATTAACGAGATTTGCAAGCCTTAATATATTCATGTGAGTGAGTGCTTTGAAAACAATGGACCTGCGCTTAGGAGCGTGGTTTGTTTGAAATACAGAACTTGCAGAATTATGCTTCCGCTGTGTAAAATGTTTGCTGTGGAGGAATGGCTTAAACTGCATTTGCAAGGTCAAACTAGGCACACTGGAAAGTGTCACCGGCTGTTCTCTGTCCTATTTATGGGCTGTTTGTGATCATTTGGGGAACCGTGTGTCCAAAATGGTGTATTTTGCAGGATAACCTTCTAGATAGTGCAGCAAAGGGTCAGAAGACGACTCTGCGTGTGCGCTTCAGTCTTGTTCTTTGTCACTGATGTGGTTATTAATATGCATCACTGTGTTCTCCTGGTTTTATACATTTATGCACTTTCTAGCACAAACTGTTCTGCCCCAGCTCGGGAGTGGGTGCTCTTTTCTGTTTGCCCTAAATACCTGTCAGTGCTTTGTGCCGCTGCTGCATTGATTCATGATCCCCATTCCAAATGTCTGTCCTCATAAAAATGATGAATATCTTGTCTGGATGTGACTTGAACCAAATTGTATTATGCATGATGAGGATCAGTCTGAACTAACCTTCACCGCACACAGAGCCAGCTGAACAAACACAGCTTTCTTCCCCCAGAACCTACGAGTAAGGGCGGTGTCACGTAGGGCTTTGGGGCTGCCTTGAGGTGGGAGCAGTATAGCTCTGAGACCCTCTTCCAGCTGGGAAAGAGAGGGTCACATACTGATCCCTGCAGGCAGTGTTACTTGCTGCAAGGTAAGGTATTAGTCTGGCATTAAAACAAGTAGATTTTCCTAATTTAATCTGTTTTCACCTTTATTTTTTTCTCTTTTTTTTGGCATGTGTTTGGACCTAAAGCTTATTTAGTACCTGGGACACTTGCAGCACTTTTGGGTAAGGAAAATCCATCCTGACGGCTTGTGACTCCCACTACAGGAGAGTCTGGTGCCATTCGTGAGCCTGCTGTAGTTATCTCCTCTGCTAATTGCATAATTCAATCAAATAGGCTAGTCTAGGAAGAAGTACCTCTGCAAAGACCCAGCAGACTTGTCCTTTTAAACACCACTTTCTGTTCCTTAAACCAGATTTTCAAGAAAGGATGGTATCTCCAAGCATTAACTCCTTTATGCATTTTGCTTTAACCAACTTCCAGATACCTTCCTTGTGACGGCTGTCACCTTTTTTGTGAGACTTGAGCTCCTGATTTGTCACTCAATTATGGTAGCACTTGGGCTTAAAGTTGGGGACTCTGGCTCATCTGAAACATTGGGGGGTTTTGTCAAATGTAATTTTGGGAATCTCTTTTCAAAGTTGGGGACTCTGGCTCATCTGAAACATGGGGGGTTTTGTCAAATGTAATGTTGGGAATCTCTTTGCCTTTTCAGCACAGCTTGACCTGTGAAAGCTGATGATATTTTTGCCTGCTCTTACTTTGTGCAAGCCAACAGCCAAACTGCACTCTTTCAAAAATTACCAGTGTGAAAGTATGTTCTGTTTTTTTTCTCCTTCTGTTGCCTTCTCTCTTCATTAGCAACTTATGAACAGACAGCGAGCATGTAAAGATGTTTAAATCAGAGATGATGGTATGCTAAAAGATGTCTGTTTCTGAATTACCCAGCAACGTGGGCACTTCTGTTCCTCTTTGACCTCAGTTAAAATACCAAACCAGTTAAAATACCAAAATTACCTCTCACTGGTTGTAAATGCTCCTGCTTTTGAGATCCATTGATAAACCTTTAGAGTGCTCGTAACTTGTATCTGTTGTTGGGAATTTTTTTTTTTTTGTCTATGCCCTTGAGTAAGGTTTGGAGAAAGTAGAGGGAAAATATCACCTCTTTCCTGAGCACCAGGATGGCAGCAGGCTCAGAGTGGACTTCGATGTCTCAGGCACTTGTCCAGCAGAAGCTCTTAATTGCTCTGAATGTGGCTGAAGAGGCTACAGAGCAGCTGCCAGAGCAGGAACTGCTGGGTTTCACTGGTGTGGGTTGATTCCTGCCATTTTGAACTCTCTCATCCCCTCCCCAGTGTTCCTTTTTATACTACATTTACTTTTTCTCACTGAAGAGAGACATTTCAATACTTGATTCTATTTTTATTTCAGCTTTCTCAAAAATTAGGTCCTTTAACAAAAGTCACAGTAAACAGCAGTATCTCACAGTGTGATTTGTCACATTTTCTTGCTGGGATTCCTGAGACCTGGGGGCAGCTCTCGTGCTTAGTGGCACCCCACTTCCTTTTCCTGCGCCCCCAGTTTTGTGCACTTTGGGAGACAAGATCCAGCTGCTGCCTTGGAGCCCCCCCCACACGCGCGTAAGAGCAGGGCTCAGGTGAGCGGGCCTTACGACGTTGGCAAAAGGTGAAATTTGTTCTGCCTGGAACTTCAGGACACGCTGTAAACAGTTAAGTTTTCTTACTACCAGTGAAATTCTTGTTTGCTGTCCATAAAATCTCGTTGGCCTTTAAAAACAATCTCTGTAATCTTTAAGTGTGGCAGTATATTCGGGCTCCGTTTATAGTATAAATCAGAAAGGCTGTTGTATTTTTCTTTTGCCTTGTTTGCTTTTATACCATAAAAGCAACAAGGTGTTTAAGTTCTGACTGGCTCATTTTCAACAGAAGAGTGAGGTTTTGGTATCTGGAAACATAATGAAAATGGAATTGCTGAGTTTCCTATGGAAATAACAGGGTATCCCTTTTGATCTACTCACTGCGGTTATAGCTCAAACAAGATTTGGTTGAGCGTCAAGCATTTTAGAGTGAAACCAAGATAACTCAATTACAAGAACAATTATTCCTGATAGTAGTGGCATTACGGTGTACTCTGAGAGTCACGCGAGGCCTGATTCTTCCATCAGTCTGTAGAACAGTCCCTTCTGAGCTATTAAGTTTTCCAGAGTATCAAATTCTGCGATCCGACCATTGTCCAAGACTAAAATCCTGTGAAAATTAAAACAGAAGTATAAGCTTGGGGATACACCAGCGGCTGTAATAAACTTAGTTATTTATTTCTAATTATTTCTAAAACAGATGTCAGTACTTGCTTGTTATTCAAGCTTTTCAGCAGCTTTTCAGCTGGGAAACAGCTGTGGGGTAGAAACAGGTTTCTGATGAGTGACTATTCAAGTACTGAGTTTGTGGGAGGAGAGTTTTTGGCAACTGAGACTGGAATAAGCTTTGTGAAACATGTTTTAGCTTCATGATTTTAAGATGAAGCAAAGAGTGGTAGCCATGGTTTTACTGTCAGTGAGGAAAAAGGGGTATGACAGCATCATGTGACAATAAATGGTCTTCGTTTAACCTGTTGGTGCCTACCTGATGTAAGATAACTCCTACAATCTCTAAAGCAAAGTTTTGAGGGTTAAACAGGAACATGACAGAAATGCAAGTGCTGCTCACTAACGCTGGTCTGTGTAGTGCTCACAGGTTGCCTGTCCCTGCCTTCCTCCTCGGGAAAGCAGCTGGAGGGATTACCTGTCGCAGTCCATGAGGGTGTTTATCCGGTGAGCTATTGTTAACACCGTGCTGTCTTTGAAGTGAGTCCTCAGGGTGGACTGAATCTGAAGATCGGTTTCTAAATCCACTGCTGCTGTGGCCTCATCTAGAATGAGGATTTGGGCTTTCCGAAGAAGTGCCCTGGCCAGACAAACCAGCTGTTTCTGACCAGTGCTGCAAGTAAGAAGAGGGGTGGGTCAACAGAGAGCAGTAGTCACTTTTCCCTGGGGTGAATGCTAATATGTGATTAATTTGAAAATAGTAACGAAAAGGTGATTGTCCCTGTCCCTGGAAGGGTGATTGTGGCTGGTGGCACTGCAGGTAACAGCAGGAAACAACCTAAGGCAATGATGGGAGTGCATTGCTACAGCACACGGGAGACCTGCACTTGGAATAGGATTCCAGTGTGTAAAACCCTACGGAAATATAAGCCACCACAATGATTAAGTCTCAAAGGTCTTCCCCTTGGTGTCTTATGATTTGATTTCATGCTGCTAAACAAGACAATAATGCAGTAATTTGCTGTCTGGATTCTGGATACCTTTTTTTATTTTATTTAAATTAATTTTACTGCATGTCCCACTGTTTGTATGTTCTCCTGGCCCCCAGGCTGGCACTGCCCTGCCACTGGCTTTCTGCAGATAAGGTACCTTAGATTTTCCCCTTGGTCAGCGCACTTATATTCCAACTGATCTGGCAAATCTGCAACAAAGTTCTTGAGCTGAGTCAGTTCCAAAGCTGTCCAGATGTCTGCATCAGTGCATTGGTTTAATGGGTCGAGATTCATTCTTAAAGAGCCAGAAAACAAAACTGGGTCCTGAGCACAGAGACAGTACAAACAACTCCTGAAATGAATTATATAAATAAGCGCTCCAGTTTTCCCTGCTGGGTTCAAATCTGTGGCTCATGTCATATTGAATGGGAGACCACCATGGCAGAGCTTATTTTATTATTGCTTTGAAATTTCTGAATGTCTCTCCTCTCACAGAATCTTTAGACGCCCTTCCTAGGTGTTAAGGCTTACAACACTGCTGGAGCATTTTGGAAATTAATTTCGTACCTGGGGAATGACAGTTATCTTGGTTCTGAGGTCATGGAGGCCTAGTTGAGCAATATCTATTCCATCAATTAGGATCGCTCCTTCTGCAGCTTCCACTAATCGCAGCAATCCCACAGCAAGAGTCGATTTCCCAGCTCCTGTTCTCCCAGTTATGCCGATCTGTAAAGTGCAATGGGAAGCTTTTGGTTTTGATGTTGATTGTTTTCAACAGTCGTACAGACCTGTTACATAATTGCTCTTGGCCTTTTGAAGAGAGACAGCTTTGCATGGATCGTATCTTCAGGGCTGTTCAAGATTCATAGTCTAGCAATACGTTCTTAAAGGGGTATAATTTGTAATTGTTTTGTATGAAAAGGAATCTTGAAAGCCTTTGATGGGAAGAATAACTACAAGGCTTGGCAGGAGGACAGGGCCTTGATGTGGCACTCGATTTAAAAAGTGGAATTCCTTTGCTGTAATTGCTAACCTTCTGTGAAATGGAATTTCACTCAGAAGAATGTCTAGTGTATGCAGCAATTCTGGAAACACTTCCTTGCACTAGAAGAGGTGTGCAGGGTGACAGAAGGGCTCTGACCTTAGTGCAGCTTTCACGCTTGCAAGTGACAGTACCCTGGTGTGGGGCAGGGACTGTGTGTCCCAGATCCAATCACTGCAAAGCACAGTTCACACCTCGTGGCTCTTCTGAAACAAATGGCTTTTCTTACCTTCTCTCGCCCGTTGATGGTGAGACTGACACGTGTCAGTGCTAACTCCAAACCGGGCCTGTATCGCAAACTATAGTTTCTAAACTCAATTCTTCCTGCAGTGGGCCAAACTTGATCTTCAAGTTTGCCATTCAGAGTCCAGGGTGCCTAAACACACAAAAACAAACAGTTACATATAAAGCTGATTTTAAATTACCAAATCAAGTGGCCATACTGAAACGGGACGCTTATGAAGACATCTGTGCCAAATTTCCCCCATCTATTTACCGTTTCCAAAAGACGAAAGGGCCTTTAACCTTCATATTGCAAATGTTGAGTTTTTACTTTATGCAAAGATGCCTGAAAACAGGGATAAACATTTGTTCCGTGTCAGAGTTCTGACATTATGAGTGGTTCAATTAAAAAAGATTTATATGCCCCTGTAAACAGAACTGTGAAAATTCTCCTTTAGTAGGGCCTCAGGGCAGCATATGGAGAAATAATTTCAATGATTACAGAACAAAAATAATCACACTGGAGACTTGTAGTGGCTAAAAGGCTATCTAGCAGCCATCAGTTATCAGAGTTGCATCTGAACTCGTGCAATAAAGACGTACTCCAAATATGGGCAGAAAATACAGCTCATTCCACGAGTGTTACCAAGTAAAGCTATTTTAATGGCAATCTAATGCTTAACTGTCTTAAGGAAATAATGATGATCAGAGGTTATAAAACAAGTCTAGTCAGTTGGATAAAAAACAAATGCTGCAGTTCTTTACAGGAAATATAACTGGCCTTTTAGAAAGGGAAAACTAGGGGGTTTGTCCAGGTGGAACAGAAAAATTACTTGTTTAGTTTGCAGAGATGTTCCCTTCTGCTAGTAAGGTCACTAGTTGGTTAGATACCTCCTTAGGAGTCTTCAAGTATTCTCTCACTCTCTCCACAGAAACAATGTTGTTCTCTATCTCCGTCCAGGAACGCACCATCCAGTTCAGAACACCAGTTATCTGGCAGAAAGAAACAGAAGTATTAGGGCAGATAAAATAAGTCTTGACCTGTGCTTGTGAGGTACCTGGTACTTTGTCTTAGTGTTTCTTTATAAAGACCTCCTCATCAGCTAATTACTTCAGAAATCATCCCTTAAAAGGCTAATAACTAACCATAGATCCTTGTGAAAGTGTTGGTAAAGCTGTGTTTAAAGACCCTAGCCAACTCCCCCCATAGTTTCTCGGCGAGTTTACAGAGAATGAAATACTACTGAATTGGATGCTAGAAAATAGTGTAGCTGTTTCTCAGGCTATTGTGTAACTAGTCTGCAAGTAGATGCTGAAGACCTTGCTTCAGCTGCTCAGAGCATGCTGTGATTAAATATGAGTTCAGAGGCAGGAGGGAAAAGATGGCTGGTGCATGTGTTTGAGGTTCATTCCCTAAGGGGCCATGTGCTCCGGATGCTCTGGGTTTCAGCACTGACAGCAGGGTTTGGTAGGAGAAGGCATCTAGAAAGCCACAGAAATAGGCCATGATTCCTTAGAAATTAAAATGGTAGCAGAAATCAAAATGCAAGTTGCTTTTGATGAAAGGCCAGCATGGTATTACTTCAACACTGAGTTACCTGAAGAGCATATGAAACGGAGAAGCCAGCAGTTCCTGGACTAAGATGTGTTCTGCCCATTGCTGCAAATAGTGCTGCAAACAACACGATGCCATTGCCTAGAAACTCCAGGTTTGTAGCAAGCCACCTGCAAGAGGAGGAGAGGACAGGGCTGTTGCTGCGTGCCCTCTTCCTTTCTCCCAACAGACTCTGTGATTACTTTGCAAAATACTTGTGGAGCTGCCTGGATACAGAATACTCAACAGAGCTCGTCACATCCTGGCCATGTCTCACTGGAGCCTCAGCCAGATGCTTCAGTCTGTCCAAACTGGTTGGCTCGTGGTCTGTGCTAGGATTTTCTCCAAGGCCTGTTGGATGAGAGCAGCCAGCACACAGTGTCTTGGGTGAGTTGTAACATCTCTCACTCCTTCTGGTGCTCCTCAGTTGTTTCATGATGGCTCTATTGTCTGATGGGTTCTGTGTGTACCACAGGCCTCATGCACTCTGTCATGTGAGGATGGGCCTCACCAGGAATGTGCTACAGCTTTCTGCATTTTGGACACCATGATACCTCTAGCAGTGTGTCAGCATATGTGCATGCCCTGCCACCCAATGGAGATGGGGCCACGTTGGTTGTGTGAGGGGCACGTTGCCAGAGAGGAGCACAGTGTGAGTGATAATGAAAGAGGCTACCCCACCCCCAAACACTGCACCACTGCCTCATCTTCTATCTACCTCCACCCAAGCCCCAAGAGTAGTTATCTCCACTCACCAAGGCTGTGAAAATAAATTTATGGGTTTTTTTTTTGTACTGCAGATTTGTACCTGTCAGCAACTGCTCCAGGGAAGCATATTCGCTGGTTCTCATCCACCAGAAAATTGTTCTTCAAAATAAACCTCTCCTGGTCCTTGTAAGCACGGATCACAGTGCTCCCCTGGAAAGTTTCTGAGATGTGGGAGTAGATGGGTGACCTGCTGGCAGCCTCTCTGCGTCTCAGCTGGCAGGAGGTGATGACATAGAAGTGCTGGTACAAAGGGAAATGGAAGGGGAAGTGATTAGAAGGTTTATGCATCTGGAGGAGTGCTCCACAGAAAGGCCTCAACAAGCGTAATGGTATGTACTGTCCTAGTGTTATAAAACCTCATGTACAGGTAGGAGATGCCCTTAGAAGGTGAGGTAGCATTCTGCCTGTGCTGTCCTATCTTCATTAAGAATAATCTTGTGGTTAGTTAATTCAAAGCAACCAGGGTACTCTCAACTCACAAAGCCTCTGAACTCACACTTACTTTCTCCTGCAGACTGGCCCTTTGCTTGATGGAGAACAGAGGTGTTAGTTGCACCCTTACTTGCCCTGCCCTCGTGTTAAGTCCTAGCTGGCAAAACACTTGAGGTTTCAGAGCCCACCAAGGAGAGGCACACATGGATGTATTAAAAAGCAGTCTAAGAATTCTGGAGGAAAGGAAAAATGCCTTTGGTCTTAATGTGATTGCATTTACACTAATAGAGACAAGGAAGATAGCTCCAGATTTGATCTGGAAATCAGAAAAGCACAAGCCTCTTTGTGAAGTCTCTGGGATGCTGTGCAAGGGGGAGGTGATGTGGGAAGAGCTGCTGACATTACTCTTGCTCAGATGCAATTTGAGATGATGAAACTAGTTTCTGCATGTCTCTGTTCCTGAGAAATGGAAGGAGGCTTTCTGCAGGGGCACAGCCCTGTTGCTTCAGCCTCTCCTGCCTGTGTATCTATCTGAGCTCCTACCTGGATTGCAGCATAAAGAACAGTCAAGGGCACTATGGCCATTGCTGCCCTTGGTGTAGCCACTATTATCACAAGGTAGATCTCCAGCAAGTTGAACAAGAATCCCAGTAAGGACTTTAGCTTGTCAGGGATGACAGAATCAATAGCATCCATTTCTCTGGAGAAGCGGTTCAGCAAGTTTCCAATGGGTGTTTGCTCAAAGAAGACCATTGGGGATCTGGCAACGTTCCTCAGCAACTGCACAAACAGCTTGTGTGATGCTAACACGCCACCTAGAAGGACTGCTGCTGTGGAGACAAATCTGCCAAGGGCTGGAATATAAAAAGAAAAAGTAATTATTACTAGGTCTGAATAACCTCACCTTGGAGTTCTCCTTTGTGAGATCATGTTTTTCACTTAGTGCTGTGGATGCTATACTAGTGAAAGGAGCTGACTTTCTCTCTGAAGTGGTAGCAATTACGCAAAGCCTCAGAGCTGCAGGGTAAATTACCCTTTATGCAGGGCAGTTACAGAGGGGTGGAAGACCTTCTAGGCAAGCTTGATGGTGGCCACGAATTCAGCAACGTAAATACACAAAGCAAATTCTTTATTCTACACAAAATGAGCTTGACTGGAATTACTTTGAATTACTCAAAGTCTTAGGTTTCCTGCCTACAGATTCACTGTTAGCACAGAAGGGTTCCCATGCCCTCCAACTTGTTCAAAGCTTTCTCAATCTTTTGTCACTTGGGCTGTGATTTTTCTAGATTTGATTTCTGTCCAAAAGCAAGTTAACTTTTTTTTTTTTTTAAATTTAAAGACTGACCCGAAGAATTGTGGCCGTTTTTAAAGAGAAGGATTAAAAAATTGTAGAATTCCATGTGTTCCTCTTTTTCTCTCTCTCTTTACACTCAAAAGACCAAAACCAAGGTTTAACTCAGCATAGAGAAGAGTCACAGCTTGCACTTTGATATAATTAATTGATATTGGAGGAATGGAAAGGGATAAAAGGAAGAAGGATATGCAGAAGACGTTGGATACAAGGGGCAGGATACAAAAATAAGGATGTTGTAGTTCTTCCATTGCTGAATGTTTTTTAGAGGCTCAGGTCATTTAGCACCAGCAGGAAATACAGAGGAAGACACTATTCATCATGGTCTTCTAAAAGGCACAGAAGAACACTTCTAGCACACCATGAAGTGGAATTTCAGAGAGCAACACTGGAAATATTGTTCAGATCCCTTAGAAATCCTCTCTGTGCGTCAGAGCCTGTAGTTTTAGGTCTTGTGCCAAACCTTTAGGGCTGGTGCCAAAAGCCCAGGAGGCTAAGAGCCCATGGGTATGCACTTGTTTATATTCTGAGAAAACATCCTGGATATGGGAAAGGGAGATAGGAATACAGAGAAGAATTAGGTGAGCAAGTTAAACGAACCTTGAATGACTCCTAGTGCACCAAAGACTGCAACTCTCAGCTCCGTGTGCTGTTGTGTCCCATTGTGAACAGGGTCATCTGTCCACAGGCTGAGCCAGTAACCACGAGAGAAGGACACAGCTTGCTGACACATGAACAACAGAATGATGTACACACACAGTGGTAAGCCCATCGCCTTCAGGTAGGCTGCATAAATCAAAGTATTAACCTAGAGTGACACAATTAGGGAAAAACAGGAAGAGAGGTTGGGAGGATCAAGCTTGTTAGCAAGGAAAAGCAGCTTTGCAACAAGGACTGATTTATTACAGTGTATGTACTTCCTGGACGAAGGGATGGAATGTACCCTCTCCAAGTTTGCTGATGACACAAAACTAGGGGTGTCTGACACCCCAGAAGGCTGTGCCACCATCCAGAGAGACCTGGACAGGCTGGATAGCTGGGCAGAGAGAAACCTAATGAAATTTAACAAGGACAAGTGTAGGGTGCTGCACCTGGGAAGAAATAACCCCAAGCACCAGGCTGGGGGCTGACCTGCTGGAGAGCAGCTCTGAGGAGAAAGACCTGGGAGTCCTGGTGGACAACAGGATGACCGTGAGCCAGCAATGTGCCCTTGTGGCCAAGAAGGCAAAAATGGGGTGCATCCTGGGGTGCGTCACGAAGAGCGTGGCCAGCAGGTCAAGGGAGGTTATCCTGCCCTTCTACTCTGCCCTGGTGAGACCCCATCTGGAATCCTGTGTCCAGTTCTGGGCCCCCCAGTTCAAGAAGGACAGGGAACTGCTGGAGAGGGTACCGAAAAGGGTGCCACAAAGATGATTAAGGGCCTGGAGCATCTCTCCTACGAGGAGAAGCTGAGGCACTTAGGTCTTTTTAGTCTTGAGAAGAGAAGACTTAGGGGGGATCTAATCAATGCTTACAAATACTTAAAGGGAGGGTGCCAGGAGGAGAGGGCTGGTCTTTTTTCAGTGGTGCCCAGTGACAGGACAAGAGGAACACAAACTTGGGCACAAACTTGAGTATAAGAAGTTCCACCTAAACGTGAGGAGGAACTTTACTGTGAGAGTGGTAGAGCACTGGAACAAGCTGCCCAGAAAGGTGGTGGAGTCTCCTTCTTTGGAAACATTCAAAACTCGCCTGGACAAGTTCCTGTGCAACCTGCTCTAGGTAGACCCGCTCTGGTGGGGGAGTTGGACTGGATGATCTCCAGAGGTACCTTCCAACCCCATAACCACTTGGTTATGTGTTATGGGTCATAGAAACTATCTTAATCCTTTTTTGTTTTCCTCATGGATGAATGATGAAGCCATACCTAAATAAATCCAAGGTGTTAATGAGCTATTATTATCAACTGATGAATGCTACTGCAATAGGTTCGTGTTATTGCTGAAATGCATGTAAGGTTTTCCTTATGCTGGTTAGTGGTTTTCATTTGTTCTTGGTGTGAGTGAGAATGTGCTTTCTGTAATATACCTGCATTATTCCTATTTTGGAACCAGTGCTTAGATCAGGGCATCCCGGGAGATACAGTTTGCACAGAAGGTGCTGTGTAAAATAATGCAGTTGAATTGCACTGGTTTAACCTCGGCAGTGAGCTGACCTGCCTGCCCTGAGTGGGTCAGCAATGAACCCACGGTGTGTGTCTTTGCCTTTATAGGAAGGTGCTGTGCTTACCCTGCCGTGCTGGGTTTTCTCTCCCTTGGTTAATCTTCCTTTGGTGGCTGGAGCAGTGGGACAATCTTGGCTTACAGGAACGGTCTCCCTTTCCATAGCAGAAGATTTGACTGAACTGTCACTTCAGAAAGAAAACAAAAATCCTTTCAATTTTTAGCCAAGATAATAAGTATTTTAAAGTTGGATCTCCTCCTTATCCATCCACCCCTACGTTCATGTCTATTTTAGGGCTGCAGTTTTTGGGGTCTTCCAGAGTGACCCAAATCATTGTGCATATTTATCACAGGGACTGGGTTCTGTCGAGCTATTGACAGAGGCTTCAGGCATTCACTGGCTGGGGCTGGTGTAAAGTCAGACCTTACAGCCCCACTGGGAAGTGAACAGCAAGCAAATGTATCAACATGCTTTGTACGTGAGCTCTGGAATAAATTCTGTCTCCCTGTGAAATTTGGAGAAAGTGTTGGTCATCCTCCACATTCAAAAGCAGTTTCTTACCTATTCTTCAGTTTTTCTTGTTTGCTAGTATTATTAATTTACAGATCAATCCCAAACCTGTATAATAGCCAGTAAGTATGGGCTTTTGGAGCAAGTTCTTCAGTGCCCAAGACAGCATTAAGCTTACCTAGAGAGCTTCTCCTGTGATGGACCATTTCTAGAGGTGATGGTGCATCTGGCGTCTCCTATAGCTGTGAAATAAATGCATTTCTTTTCTAAATGTTTTAGAATGCCATTTTGTCCGGTATAACTTCTGAGAGACTGGTAATAGGGAAGAAAAATTCATTACAAAGAATTGTTTCTAAGGGCAGAAATATCAAGGTGAGGCTTGAAGAACAGCATATATAGTGGGTAATTCTATTTACTGCATGACTGTTGTCTACTAAGATGAAACTGTTTATTCAAGAACCAATTTTGAGGTAATGAGTCAGCTAATTTAACAGACATTTTTCCTTACACAAAGCAACAGCTTACTGTGATTGATCTTGGCTTTAAATGTCCATAATAAACAAATATAAGACTGGCTTTTCCAGTTTTATTCTCTTTTTTCTCTTCCCAACTGTGATCCAGTGCTGACTCCCTCGCCCCCAGTTCTTTAATGTTAAGCATAATATTAAGGAAACAATTGACTGATCTACCTAGGAAAAATGATTTTAACTCATTCAGGTTACCTGGAAAATCAGTGCCTGCCTTCTCTTCTGCAGTAATGTGTGAATGAAGAAATTCTGCAAAGGCCCCATTTCTCTGTAGAAGTTCTTGGTAGGAACCTACTTCTGAGATAGTTCCATCCACCAGAAAAACAATGTTGTCCACTTGAGGTAAAATGTTGATTGTGTGAGTCACCAGCACACGAGTCTGCTTGAATGAAGAGGAAACAGTTAAAATTGTTCAGGTGTTTCCCTGCTCATTTGAACTGCTGCAGTCAGCTGCCTTCTGAAGACAGACATGCACTCAGCGTGACCTATGATTTTTACTAACTTGGAGATATGTTTGTTATTTATCACTATCACTTCTGATGAAGTTTATCTTTGCAGCACAGCTTTGTGCCTGTTCTGGAAGTGCAGAACTCAGGAGTAGGGACTGATCAACTATAAACTTGCCGTAGAAGTAAGGCTGGAACTAGGCATGTGGTTTGCATGAGGATAAAGACAGTCTTTCAGGAGAACCTAACTTTTCAGTCTTCCTCCTAAGTGAGATTCACTGGAGGACTTCCATGTGCTGTGTGGACTGCAGAGGTGACCCGTTCCACTCCCAGTGTTGTTAACAGCAGCACACCTGCTGCCACTAGGAAAAAAGAATTCAGGAGTCTTGGATAAAGGGAGTAACCCGACTTACTGGAAACATTTCAGAGGCTCTGGTAATTAGATACATTTTGTAATCTTTTACAGTTCAGAAATTACAACACACCTTATCCTTCAGTAAGCCATTGGGTCCCAGAACATGTTCAAAAATGTGCTGTCCAACATGGGCATCAACAGCCGAGAGGGGGTCATCTAGTAGGTAAATCGAAGCCTTCTGGTACACGGCACGAGCAAGGTTCACTCTTTGCTTCTGCCCTCCAGATATATTTATTCCCTGTAAAAAAGTATTGACACTGTTTATTGCAAAGCTGCAGCATATTTGACAACTGTTGGCTCCATTTCACACTGAAGTTTTATGACTTCCTTATTTTTAAATCATTGCTTATCTCTCTCCTCTCCCTCCCTCCAAACAGGGCTCCTGAGTTGGAGGCAGATGCTTTTGGGCAACTCCACTCTCCTGCAAAAGAGGACCCAAGAATGACCTGGATTTGTTGATTTTTGTCTTGAGCAACTCGCGTATCTCTGGTTAGGTTAACTGTCAGGAGGTGGGCTTCAGGAAATCATGGCCTGACTTTTCAGAAATTACTGTGCACCTGCCCCCTGCAAGTTTAGTCCTTTTGTCGGTGTTTTTAAGCAGGATACCCAAAGTTGTAGCTACTCATGGAAAAGCTGGCCAAAATGTAAACCTAAGCCAGTACCTTCTCTCCTATTTCACTCTTCCGCCCTGCAGGGAAGCACTCCAAATCAGGTTGCAGTGCACAAGCATCTATCACTCTATTGAACCATGTTTCATCCATCTCTTTCCCAAAGAGAATATTATCCTCCACTGAAGCATTTTGTATCCAGGCTTGCTGGGGGACATAAGCTGCGATGCCCTATAAAAATGGAAGTAGAAGAACATTAACAGTCTTTTTCCTAAGCTCAACTTGACACTGTGGGAACCCGTCTTTGAAGAAAAACTCTCCCAATTAGCTTTACAGAAATCTGGAATGATCATCACCATTAACAGGTCTCAGAGGGCTTTGCAAAGTATGAGTCTGCAGTCTTATTATTTTATAGAGGAGGAAACAAAGGTGCAAGTACATGCTGTGATTTACCAGAATGGCACTTCAGCTCACTGTCAGAGTGGGAAATCTAACTGGATCTTTGAAGTCCTGTTCTGGTTCTCATTCCCAAGGGTCAGGCTCATCTGAGAGGTCTTAAGCACCTTCAGATAATTAAATGCAGGCTGCTACATACAGCCTTTGTTAAAATTCAGCAGTAAATGGGTCTTCATCAAGTATGCGATGCCTTAGTTAATACCTTACTGTTCCTGAAGACAGCCTAATTAGAAGCAAACACTCGGGGGAAAATGTACCTTCATGGTCACACAGCCGTCGGTCTTCTCCAGCTCGCCAAGTAATGCTGACAGCAGTGAGGACTTTCCAGCACCCACCTGGCCAACTACAGCAAGCAAGGAGCCTTGGGGCACAGTAAGATCTATTCTAGAGAGAAAAGGTAATCTCTTATCACCTTTTAGATACACTTTCTGAAAGAAAATGACCAAAATTCTTGCTACTGTTTTGTAGCAATAAAAATATACCAACTACCCCCCCCAATTTCATATTTGAGGCCTCAGTTACACAGGATTACTCTTCCTGTCATGCTGACCTTTTGCAGCAGAACAGGAGTCATCCCTTCAAAGACACCTGTTTCCAGAAAGTCTGGAAACCCAGATCCAAGACTCGGGTCTCCACTCTTGGAGACAGGGCTATCCCAAAGCATTAGATATGAAACATTCTTGAACATCAGAACTTTTCAACACTGTTTCTTCTCTAAAGTTGCAATGCCTTTTTGAAATAGGCAAGTAGTGATGTCTTATATAAGATCTGCAAACCATCAACTCTACTTTTTTGACTTAAATTACTGTAATTTCATATTTGGACAAGAAAATTGTGTAAAGAAAGCTGTCTTCATATATTAAGGCAACATTCAGATACAGGCAACTTCCCGTTGATATGCTCCCAGGCATAAAAGCAAGATGACATTTTGTCTGACTTTATAATTTCAGAATTCAACATTAAATATGAAGCAAACTCAGAAGCCTCTAAATATTCTACACTGGGCCTTGAGGAATTACTTCATTCAGCATCCACCCTGATCTACAGAACTGAGATGACTAAGGGTAAGTCTGTACCTTCTAAGACAAGAGGTTTCTTTGCTCCAGCAAAAAGTCCCATTTCTTATGGTGATACTTGCCTGTACTAAAATATAAGGAGAAATAAAACACTTGTAAATTCAAACGTAGGTACAGAAACATTCTTGTTTATTTGACTTTATGTGTCATTGTGTATTTCTATTATATAAAATGAACCTTAAGTATAGAAAGCAGGGGTTAATTACCAGATTAGATTTCATCTGTAGAAATAAATAGGCCTAAGAGAGAAAGTGACAGTGAGGGGCAAATATTTAGGATGCCTACCATAGTCAAGAGAGAAAAGAGTGGAAACTGAACAATGGAAGCTACTCCTCTTACAAGACAACAATGCTAACACAGAAGCTCACCACAGTCAGAAGTGTTTCTACTTGAGCTCTCAGGATTCAGTTCTTCCAGATTCAGAAAAGCTGCTAAGCGGTTTAAAGAAACTTTGGCCTGAAATGAAGAAGCACACAAAAGAATAATTTGGAACAGAAAGGGAGCTACAACTCAAAGTGAACACTCATCTTGAAGACCCGCTTAGCCTGTTGACTAGGTGCTTGACAAATGCAGCTCTACAACTCAAAGTGAACACTCATCTTGAAGAACCGCTTAGCCTGTTGACTAGGTGATTAGATTGACAAATGCAGCTTTTCCTCATGTTAACTGCCTTTATTTCCACTTTACTTAGCAAAAAACCCATATTCTTCCCTGTGTTTTCACTTCTGTTCACACAGTGAAATTAGTGCTTTTTCTCCAGTTCATCATGCAATCTTTCCAATGATTGCTTCTGTACGTGAGGACTTGTGGCAGTCTTCTTAGGGTGCAAGAGGGAAATCCAATTTCTTACTGGACAAGGACTTGCTTTTCTCTCTGGCTTGGGCTAACAGGGTTTCCACTGATCTCCCATGGAGATTTTGCTCCATCTATTCAGATTTCCATGGTTAAAAACAGAACTGGAAGCACCTCTGAGATCTAACGGTCCTCGTGATTGGCCTCAAAAGACTTAAGAATAGTTCTTGGTGACTGTTTTGCCAATGTACGGAGCCTTTCTGAAAAACAAAACTACAAAGTACCTTTAGCTGCGAGTCCTTGCACTTCACCATTTCACAATAGCAATTAAATAGCAAGCCCTGATGTTCGAAGCCCTAAGAAATCACCTCTTCATGGTGATATATGAAAAATTACCTATGGCCAAAGAAAAAGGAACAAAGCTTGCAATTAACCTGGACAGCAGCATTTATGGAGAATGGCAGGAAGGAGTGTGCAGTGTTGAGAATATTGATCAGTGTTAAAGATACAAAGGCCTTCTGAGCATCCAGGACGTGTGAGGTATCCACCAGGGTGTAGACAGCAAACATGACAAACGCAATCTGAAAGGGAGCAAAGGAAAAGCAAACCATTTGTGTCAAACAGGGAAGAGAATGGTTTAAGGGTGACAGGCCCCTTCCTAAAGACCCTGGAACCCATTTAGTTAAACCCAGGCTATTGCCCACATACATGGTAACCATCCTGCAAATGTCAGAGGCAAAGGTCTTGCATGTTGGTGACAAAACCAAGTCTGATCATTTTATGCTTGCTCTGCTTTAAGGAAGTTTTGTTGCTGCAACCACAGCAAGGTCTTTATCTTTAGATGTCACACAGGAAAAATCTGTCCAGACAGGAGTACAAAGAGAAACAGAAGTAATAGCATGTTTTATGTAGGAAGGTGAACCACTCACCAGGAAAGTTGATGAATGGAAAGACGCCAGAGATGCTGAGAAGAGAATCTGAGATTTTTTTAGCGCCTGAAGTTCTTGCTTCCGGATACCAAGCACTTTCTCCATGAAGGTTTTCTCCCAGCCATACAGTTTGATTACTTTAATGTCACTGAGAATGGCATTGGTGAGTTTGGCCCGCTCATCTTTATGTTTCATCTGGATCTCCTGTAATAAATGTTAGACTTCTATCATTTAATAGATTGAATGTTTAACAGTGCAATTATTCTGAAAAATGCCTTATTCCTGCCTATGAATTCTGACTAAATTTCCCTGCAGTTGAGCTGTGTATACTGTTTTGCTTATGAATCTTCCAGGCTGGGCTTCCCGTTGATATGCTCCCAGGCATAAAAGCAAGATGACATTTTGTCTGACTTTATAATTTCAGAATTCAACATTAAATATGAAGCAAACTCAGAAGCCTCTAAATATTCTACACTGGGCCTTGAGGAATTACTTCATTCAGCATCCACCGTGATCTACAGAACTGAGATGACTAAGGGTAAGTCTGTACCTTCTAAGACAAGAGGTTTCTTTGCTCCAGCAAAAAGTCCCATTTCTTATGGTGATACTTGCCTGTACTAAAATATAAGGAGAAATAGAACACTTGTAATTTAAAACGTAGGTACAGAAACATTCCTGTTTATTTGACTTTATGTGTCATTGTGTATTTCTATTATATAAAATGAACCTTAAGTATAGAAAGCAGGGGTTAATTACCAGATTAGATTTCATCTGTAGAAATAAATAGGCCTAAGAGAGAAAGTGACAGTGAGGGGCAAATATTTAGGATGCCTACCATAGTCAAGAGAGAAAAGAGTGGAAACTGAACAATGGAAGCTACTCCTCTTACAAGACAACAATGCTAACACAGAAGCTCACCACAGTCAGAAGTGTTTCTACTTGAGCTCTCAGGATTCAGTTCTTCCAGATTCAGAAAAGCTGCTAAGCGGTTTAAAGAAACTTTGGCCTGAAATGAAGAAGCACACAAAAGAATAATTTGGAACAGAAAGGGAGCTACAACTCAAAGTGAACACTCATCTTGAAGCCCCGCTTAGCCTGTTGACTAGGTGCTTGACAAATGCAGCTCTTCCTCATGTTAACTGCCTTTATTTCCACTTTACTTAGCAAAAAACCCATATTCTTCCCTGTGTTTTCACTTCTGTTCACACAGTGAAATTAGTGCTTTTTCTCCAGTTCATCATGCAATCTTTCCAATGATTGCTTCTGTACGTGAGGACTTGTGGCAGTCTTCTTAGGGTGCAAGAGGGAAATCCAATTTCTTACTGGACAAGGACTTGCTTTTCTCTCTGGCTTGGGCTAACAGGGTTTCCACTGATCTCCCATGGAGATTTTGCTCCATCTATTCAGATTTCCATGGTTAAAAACAGAACTGGAAGCACCTCTGAGATCTAACGGTCCTCGTGATTGGCCTCAAAAGACTTAAGAATAGTTCTTGGTGACTGTTTTGCCAATGTACGGAGCCTTTCTGAAAAACAAAACTACAAAGTACCTTTAGCTGCGAGTCCTTGCACTTCACCATTTCACAATAGCAATTAAATAGCAAGCCCTGATGTTCGAAGCCCTAAGAAATCACCTCTTCATGGTGATATATGAAAAATTACCTATGGCCAAAGAAAAAGGAACAAAGCTTGCAATTAACCTGGACAGCAGCATTTATGGAGAATGGCAGGAAGGAGTGTGCAGTGTTGAGAATATTGATCAGTGTTAAAGATACAAAGGCCTTCTGAGCATCCAGGACGTGTGAGGTATCCACCAGGGTGTAGACAGCAAACATGACAAACGCAATCTGAAAGGGAGCAAAGGAAAAGCAAACCATTTGTGTCAAACAGGGAAGAGAATGGTTTAAGGGTGACAGGCCCCTTCCTAAAGACCCTGGAACCCATTTAGTTAAACCCAGGCTATTGCCCACATACATGGTAACCATCCTGCAAATGTCAGAGGCAAAGGTCTTGCATGTTGGTGACAAAACCAAGTCTGATCATTTTATGCTTGCTCTGCTTTAAGGAAGTTTTGTTGCTGCAACCACAGCAAGGTCTTTATCTTTAGATGTCACACAGGAAAAATCTGTCCAGACAGGAGTACAAAGAGAAACAGAAGTAATAGCATGTTTTATGTAGGAAGGTGAACCACTCACCAGGAAAGTTGATGAATGGAAAGACGCCAGAGATGCTGAGAAGAGAATCTGAGATTTTTTTAGCGCCTGAAGTTCTTGCTTCCGGATACCAAGCACTTTCTCCATGAAGGTTTTCTCCCAGCCATACAGTTTGATTACTTTAATGTCACTGAGAATGGCATTGGTGAGTTTGGCCCGCTCATCTTTATGTTTCATCTGGATCTCCTGTAATAAATGTTAGACTTCTATCATTTAATAGATTGAATGTTTAACAGTGCAATTATTCTGAAAAATGCCTTATTCCTGCCTATGAATTCTGACTAAATTTCCCTGCAGTTGAGCTGTGTATACTGTTTTGCTTATGAATCTTCCAGGCTGGGAAATATTTGCTTTTCATCTTCAGAGCTTTATTTTTACTGGCAATACATAAAAAACACAGAAAAGGTGGGCAAACAAGTCAAAAGACTGAACATGTTCCTTCAGACAGTCATGGTCAGCATGAATAAATATTAAACTGTTACTTGATGTGAAATGTTAGTGATATACTTCAGTACATTTTTTACATTTTTTAGTACACTTTTCAGTACAGACTTTCTGGTTTTTTCTTCCCATCATGCCTGCTGTAATCATTGGTAGCTTTTGGGTTCCATGTGATCCTTCTCTGGAAAAGCACAGCAGCCTTTAACTTAGATTTAAAAGTAGTACCCTAGCCTAATTCAAGTCAGCAAACCACTTCATTTTTATGAAGCAAAATGTACCTGAAACTGACTCCTCTTCTTGGTGATCACAAAATTCAGAGGCAAAAGAAAAAGGAATACAGCAATTGAAGCCAAGGCAGATGGCCCAAGAAGCTGCCAGGAGAGAAAAGGGAAGAGGAAGATTACTAGAAATGACTGTTTTCCATTCCCCCTCTCTCACCTTCCCTCTTATTTGAACTTATGCCTAACATCCCTAATGGCTAAGGCTTTACTCTAATCTTGCCTTTGCCTTTCCTGGGAATTGTGCTCCCCAAGCACTGTGGATTGTTAGCTCTCCAGGCCGGGGAACTCCTGTCATCATGCTCTGCTGAATTTATTTGCTTCCCTAAAAAGGACCTACAATAGCGCTGAAAGTGATCCAGAGGCACGCTGACTATTCAAGTCATTTCTGCTGCGGTCCATCTGGTCGTGGATGCATTAAGGAGGACATCTTGTGGCTGGCACAAGTAAGTGAACCGAAACAAATACAGGTTTTGTTTTAAAAAACAAACCCAAACTGTCCACAAACTTAACAGCTCAGCTTGTCTGAAGCTACATCAACTCGTGAGATGAAATGGTAGCACCATACTGTGCCACGTACTCTTTGGACAGCTCTTGGCTACCAGGGTTCATAATGAATTGAGTATCAAAATAGAGAGCTTGTTTCTCATGGTTTAGTTACATCTCTCTACAGACGGCTTACGTTGGCAAGAGAGGTGAGTGCTGCTGTATACAGAGAGATAAAAGTATTCTCTATGCAAATGGTCGCTGAACACTAGCAAACAAAATGTTAATTATGCTCCAACTACATGCAATCATGTTCAGCTTGTCAACATCGATAGAAAAGTGATGATGATTTTTCAAAAGTCTATACTATCGCTATAAGGTCATACTATCCTGCCAGGCACAAGGCATAGTCCATTCTGGACTCAAAGGCCTCTGGAAAGCTCCTGGGAATCACCTGTATCTGTAGTTCCATTTGGTGTGCTGCCAAAAACAGGGACTAAGAAACAGGGCTTTGTCCTGCTGAGAACATAGCATATATTGAATTAAGGGGAAAAAAAAGATATTTTAGATTATCATCCTTTATTTCTAATTCAGGTTTTTCTCTCTCCTTTCTAAACTCCTTGATACCTATGAAATTCAGTGTATCCAATACTCTTTTTGAATATCATATAACTTCAAACTGTTTCACTGAGCTTGTGGTAATCAGGCTTCAGGATGAAGTATGTCAACTTGCTATTTCTGACCATTCTCCTTATGTTCTCTAACTACACTGAGGAGCTTAAAGTGGACTCTCAGCCTGCACTGGGCCACCACATTTTGGTTGAAAAAAAGAGGTGACACAAGAAATTCTGAGGCAGAACCATATTCACAGTCTTTTTCCTACAAGCGACTGAATGCTGAATATACAGGTGAGAAAATGAAGTGAAGGATAAGGTACGGATTTTATACCAATAAAAATATCTTCTAAAAAGAAAAGTGAATCCACAATGCTTCAGAGCTAAGAGAAATATGGCAATTTCAGGATATTCAGACCAGCAAAGCTCTAAGCAGAATTTTGAAAACTCTTTTCCTTTGATACCTACAATAGGAAGGGATTGATAGGGACTGTTACCATATTTTACCTGCCACAGGAAGACAAAGCAGATGATAATCCGAATAGGAGCAAGCCAGGTCCCATTGAAGTAGATAATCAGATCCATTAGCTTTTGGACATCAACAGATACCAGATTAACAATTTCACCTACTGTTGCTGCTTTCCTTGATGCATTGGACATGACTAGGATCTAGACAAGGGTAGAGAAGAAAGGAAAGGTGTCATCAAACAGCTTTGGTCCAAAAATCTAACAATTTTCTTACACAGAAGGAAAAAAAAAAAAAAAGAGATGGAGAAAAATGTCAAATCCTAGGTACTGAAAATGCGCTGTTGCCTGGAATATGTAACTTCACTTTAAGATGAAGAATGTACCATAATCTACAGCATAAGAAAGTTTATGTTGCTTTTTCCTCTTTCCTTTTCTTGGCCTTCCCTTCAGCGGCAAGAGCTGAAAAACAAATAGTAAAATACCTCCCACACACTGTTCAGAGATGAATACAGCACAGAATTATAACCTAAAAGCAGTTTCTAATAACATCTACCCTGATATTGTTAAAAACAAATGTCAAAACTACTAATGTAGCGGTAGAAAAGAAATGAGGCTGAGTAGGATGCTCCAGGCTCACCTTCCTGTACACAAGCCCTGTTACTGCAGTTTTCAGTCTCAATCCCAGAACAAGACACATGTACATATATCGTTGTTCAAACAGAGTCTGGAGACAAGCCAAAAGGAACATAGCCAAGGCATAGAAATAGCCGTGCCAGGCAGGGGCTTCTTGATCTTCAATGAACTCCAGGAAAAGGCTACAAGACAAGAGCAAAATGTTGATGAATCCACATAGAACTGATGAAATATCTGACACACAAAAATACCAGGTTTTTTTTTCTGTATTCTCTCTGGCTGATGTTTATCAGTAAAATAGCAGAAGAATTGGAAAAACTCCTAAGTATCCTATGTCTTATAATATCCTGATTTCTGACGTTTGACCATTCTTGGTTTTGAAGCAATCTCTGATCTCAGCATCTTCTCAGCGGAGACCTCATTTTCAGTGTTAAGGATGGCTCCTGAATTTCATGAATTTTTCATAAATATGCAAATTGGGAGTCATAATCTAAGTAAGTCTTTGACATTTCCAGAACTTCTCTTAATCTTAATGACTAAGAAGTGATTTTTGCCCTTGAAAATATACTGTAATGCAAGTTTGTGTTGTACCAACACAGTCTACAAAGCATTATGTTAACTGACTAAAGAAGTTATTTAAGATGTTTAGGATGCACAGCTGGGCTTTATAATTAGTCAGGCAACACAGAGTCGTAAGACTACGGCAAGTTGTTGACAGCCTGTATAAATGATGTGATATATAGAACCATCAAATAACTCACTCCTGTTCTAGTCAAGTAAAAAGGCTTAGTAAAAGCAAAAAAGTAAAAAGCCTAATGCAGCCTGTCCTTTCCACTGTTGGAATACAGCAGTGGAGAAAGCGTGCACAACTTTTGACAGTGGTTTGTTGTGTTTTTTTCCCCAGTGAGTTGACTGTGGGCTTAGCACACATGATAATCCATCTCTTTTCATTAGCAATAGGAGATTTCAAAAGATAAGTGTTTGTGTGTCGACCTCTGTGGGTGCTGGCATACGCAGCTCTGTGTGAGGTCATGCACAGACCAACCTTGTACATGTGACAGAAATACATTACAAATGCACACATACCTCAGTAACTTTGGGATGGAAAACAAGAAGACATCACAGATAACTAAGCAGACAGTGCTGAGAAGGAAATAGGTTCCAAACATACTCCAAAATGTTTTCAGTAAGGGCCCGCTTGGACTGTGCTCTGTCTGCAGTAGAACCTCGGTCTCTTCAGCTTCTGCTATGCCAGTTCCACTCTTCTGACCCTTTTTAAATGTAGCAGACTCTATTTTTCTAAAGAAAAAAAGAATGAGAAAGCTAACCGCAATTGGAAAAAGCCTGGGGATTTGGTGTTTTCAAAAAATGATTAAATATCTCACACTGGGTCTGGTGCCATGTCCAGTATAAATGCTCATCAAAAAACCTTATAGTTCTGTGCTTCCAGGAATGAAAGGATGTTCTCCAGCAGATTTCAACACTTAAAATCAGATTTTACACAAAGGAAGTCACCCATTGAGCGCTCATCCACTGAAGAATAAACACCCCCGAGTTTTTATAGCAGAGTTACTTGGATGATTTTATGTATGCTATCCTTTTCTTCTTGATGTTTAATGTACAAATAATTCAGTGGGATTGAATCTTTCAACCTTCCTCTTGTCTAGGTAGGGAGCACCTAGCAGAGCCTGAATATGTGCTGAAGCAGTCTGCCTGGCACTCCACAGGGAATGGAGGGGATTAAAGCTTGTTCTGAGAATGCACACCAGCACCTGTGAGCATATTTGTTTATATTATCTAAAGGCAAGAGAGAAACTGCTCAGCTGAGCCCACAACACACTCTCTAAGATCAAGTACTCACTGCTGGGTTCTGCTGTGATACTTCTTCCACTCTCTTTCAGCCCAGGCAACAATTTCTTCAGAGGAGTCCTCTTTCCTCACTGTCCACAAGTCATCCCCGCACAAGGACTGCTGACAGCCTTTCCAGACCAGCCTGGGGAACACACAGACTGCTGTGAGGTAAGCACAGAAGAACTTGTTGTGCCTGTAAGATTGTCAAAATGGATGGGCTTTAAGTCAGTGCACCACAGGCAGCACATAGGGACTTGCTTATATAAAACACTACTCGGGACTATCCTTTCCCAGGATAAATATGAATGTTCAGGAACAGCAATTTTGCTTCAAGTCCCCACACTTATCTTCTGTCAACATAATGAGGATTTGCAAGTAAGTCCTAATTTCTAGTCCATACTGAGAGCTGGGTCTTGGGCAGTTGAGGACAAGAGTTCAGTTTAACTTACTCTGTGGCTCAGTGAAACACAGAGGAGGCCTTATCATGGCAGATATTAGGCCCAAGGTATGTAATCGTTTTAATTCTCAGTGCTAAGCAGTAGGCTGGGCCAATGTCCTCACTCCCTATTTTCCCCTTGCCCATCACTTGTTACAGGAGGGGCTGGCAGGCAGGTAGGCCTGTGGCTGGTGCACAGTGAACTTCTGAGATTGCTGAGGTCTACTTCAAGATTGGGAGGGCACGGGAAGGGTAGTTGGAAGGGGAAAGAGAATTATCTAGAATCACAAATTTGTGTTTTGAACTACTTTGAGAAAAGTAAGTTAAATTTTTGTAATTTGATCTTGTAAGAATACCTCAAAACCCCAGAGAAAGAATTTAAATCCTCACTGCATAAGCCAACTCGGAGGCTGAGATGTACTGGCTGTCATCTTCACCCTCGCTTATGCTGCTGGTTTTTTCTGGTATTCTAGCAAAAACATGTCTTTTTTTTTGGTGTGTTTTCTTACCCAGAGAACCACCAGTACGTGATTTTGGAAAGAAAAGAGCTGCTGGCTTCTGGACACTGATGGGAGGAAAAACATGGGTGATATTTATATATAGAAAAGGGCATGTGTCAGATGAATATAATTCCCTTCTGTGCTTCCCCAGGAAAAGAAATCAAAAAGTTACACCACCACCCCCCATTCATTGACCCTAACAATGTACACGTATTGTGGAGGATCAAAGAATATCATTCTTCACACCCAAAGACATTCATTTTCTGAAGCACAGGGCTCTGCCATACTCATGCCTCAGAGTACCGCTGCACAGGAGAGCAGAGGGAAGCAGTATGAGCCCCATCTACTGCTTTCAATGAAAAAAAGGTGAGTATGGACAGAAAAGGTTTTCAGTTTTTCAAAACATACCTAGGGAGACAGGGTACTGCTATTCCAAATTTTGCCTGTTAACCTTTTAAAACCATCAGCCTTTATAAAGAATGATGCATCTTTTATCTCCCAGATACTTGTGCTCCTGTGTATCTCCATAAATTCAAACTCCTGTTTGAGCAATGACACAATGTGTTATGAAAAGCTACGTTACACTTACAGCATTGTTGACAGCTTTAGAGAAGAAGGGAGGGTGATCAACTAAGCAGAATAGCACAAGTTCTCCTAGCACCAGGCTAGCATAAAGGTAAGTTGTAACCTGGCGGAAATGGTCTTCCAGGAAGCCCTAGGAAACAGAACACTGTTGAGAATGAGGTAAAAACCTTCATCTGAAATCAGCAGAGAAAGATGGCTTCTCACATTCCACCAGCCATAAGCTCTTGAGTTTCAGTTTGAAACATGAGTTGCATTTATTTTAACTGTATTTATGTAGAGCTGCTTAAATAAGTAACTCCTGAAAGTGGAATATCAGAAAATGCTAAATAAAGGACACATTTGTTATTTATAATGATGGTTTTAAGTGAGAGTCCATGAAGGGTGCTCTAATTTGTCAATGAGAAAAACCAAGGAAAAAGTCTGAGTGTTTTTGGAACTGTATTTTGGTTGCAAGAAACGGTAAAGTGTTATTTCTACAAGAAGCCTGGTGCCTGAGTATCATTCAACATAGCAATGTATCTTCAGAGGAACAAGCAAGTTCCAACTCTCTTTTGTTTAGTGGTGGCGTGGTTTTCCCCTATTACTTAAACATACAGGTAATACAAACTTTTGCTTATTCCTTGTGATGGAAAGGTACAACTGTTTGCCTGAGGAAAATGGCCACTGACAGTGCCTCAAATGTGTAAACCCAGCCAGTACACAACTAAATATTTATCACAATTACCCAAATAAAAAAAAGGTATAATGTATCAACATATTTATGATGATACAAAATCTGGCATAAGGTCAGTTTTTAGTGACAGCGTTTGTATTCAGTTTGTCTGAACATATCACTTTGTCATCTCCACTTTGTCCTATCCCTTGATATTCACTCCGTCTATATTGAAAGGGATAGGATAAAGCGGAGATGACAAAGTGTCATCAACTATTTTTCTCAGCACATATCTTGGGAGGAATTTGGTTCTCCACCTCACAACCAATGAGCCCTGTAGTTTAGAGACTTCATACCCCTGTGTGTTACAGGTACATGATTTCACTTACTCTTTCCAGGGCCTGTTGGACTTTGGAACTAAACATCACAACTGCAGCCATGAATGAGAGCAGCCAGAAAACCAACAAGATGCCTGAAGACCGGATGCCCATCACTCTTTCCACATGGATAAGGAACATGGCAAGGATCTGCAAGGAAGTACAAAGTTGTCCAAATAAATAGTTGGTAACAGAATGCCAAAATTAATATCAATTTAATGGATACAACAGAGAAAAATCAGTTAGTTTCTTGCCCAAACATTTCAAGGTGTTCAGAGCTGCAGTATGTGTTCCTAAAAGGCTAAAACTAAAAAGCATTTTGTGCAATTTTGCACTCAAGAATGTGTCTCCAGAAAGGGCAAGTAACAAAACTACACAGGGGCCAACAGGATCTAGGCTACAACTTGTGCTCAGAGACATTGAGAAACACAGTATCTGCCCCAGGAGGGCTACGCTGGGCCACATGCAGACAAAAAAAAAGGAATAATTACCATTGTGATTCCCACCATGGTGGGGCTAATGAAGAACACTGGAGCCCGTGGGATTCCATGGCTTATCTCCCACAGTGCAAAGAAGACATTAGAAAAACACAATATTACCAGGGTGAATCCAAGGACCTGGGTGAGAGACAGCAAACACACATTAGAATGGACTGAAATGATGATGGGACCATCTACCAAACTGAATGCCCCAAGCAGCCTGGCTGTAAGGCTGGAGAGGTGGAGCAGCAGGTTTGGGACAGAGTGTTACAGGAGGTAGCGGGGAATTGAATGGCAGTAGAGGAGATCTTCTGACAGTTCTTCCTAAAACTTTACTTGATTTATACTGACCTAACTTTACCCGAGTGAGTAAATGTCAAAGCAAAGACAGACATGGATCGTCAAAAAAGAATTAATGATTTAGAAAAATTAAATTCTGCATCAAAGTTGTGATAACATTAGGATCAAACCCCATCCTCCACCCTTACCATTTTGGCTTTGAAGATGTGGGATATCCTGATATAGCCATTTTTTCTGTGTCGAAGATACAAGTAGTAGAAAGGAAAACAGATCCAAAGATAGACACAAGGGATCCAAGCAATGACTGTACTCTCAAAACACCAGGTAAATCTTGGGGTGCTTGTATACCATGTCTGGTTCCAGTCCTGTCACAGAATCAACACAGCAGTGAAACAGTAAAGCTAACGTATGCAGAATTTCACCAGCTAATGGAAGTTGGTAATGCTACAACTGAGATCTACTGTAACACTGGAGAGACTTGATTTAGGGTTTCAAATGTAAAAAACCCTTGGCGACAGAGGGGCTGCTGGAGAACAGCAAGGTGTCACAGGTGTGGGTGGGAGGACTTGGCAGTAGCATTTTTAGAGGGAATGGAAGTAGAAAGGAGGGGGGGAATGGTTGGAAAAGTAAGAGATGCCAAAGAAAGGACATCATGTATCAGAACTAGAGAAAAAAAAAAAAAAAGAGACGAATTTTAAGTTATTGAATGTGGAATACGTAATTTGGGAATGAAGAAAATAATCAGCATTTGGGAACTATCAGAATAGTCACTAAGGAAAGACTGCTGAAATGGAGATGAGGAGGAAAGAAGTATCCTAGTGCATAAACTGCATCACAACTCCATTCCTTCAGCTGTATTTATAATCCATTTGTAGGTTTTGGGTTTTTTTTTTGAATGAAGAGTTGCATCTCACCTACTAGCATAAAAATACAGCAAACTGTAGATGAACAGGCGAGGGTTATTTCATTTCAGCAGCTAGTGGAGGTGGTTTGAGCCCTTTGTGATACAAAGCAAGGCTAGTGGAAAGGAATCACTTGATGAAAAGAGGAAGCAGGTAACAGCGCACAAATTATTATGGGAGTTTATCAACCTTCAGGATGGAAATCCACGTGAGACTGGACTGATGAGCTCACTGGAGCCCTTTTAAAGGTATTTCTGTAGCGGGTCGTTCAGCAGACACTTTCTGAAGTCAATAAAGGGACCAATTTCAACACCCTTCCAGCAGCGCACGCTCCCCTCACCACATCTACTGTCCCGGGATGAAGTTCTCTATCTGGGTGAAGACCAGGTGTCCCTGGGAGGCAAAGTCCATGACACCAGCAGCCCCTGGTGGAACATGCTTCACCGCTGACAGCCCGCCGCCCTCCCCGCTCTAACCCCGCGCTGGCACCCGCCCCGGGCGGAGGGTCCGCGGGTACCGGGCGGGCGGGGAGCGGCCCCCGGGCCCCCCGCGGTGGGATCCCCCGCACCCCGCGGCGGGGCAGGGGCTGGCCGCCTCCCGTTCCCTGCGCTCGGTCCGGGCGGGGGGTCTGAGGTGCCGCGGCCCTCGCTCGCTCACTCACCCAGAGCCCGGCGGAGCCTTCCCGGGACCCGCACAGCGCACCGCCCGCCGCCATGGTGCCCGCCGGGGGTGCGGGCGGGGCGTCACGGCTCGGCTCGGTGGGGGCGGTCCGCCTGCCGCCCCGGACCCTCCGCTCGGCGCCCCGGGGCGCGCCTCAGCGCCGGCGGGACGGGCCCGTCCTCACGGGGCAGCGGCCGAGGGCGCCGTTCGCGCCTGGGGGAGCCCCGGAGCGCCCCGTCCCGTCCCGGCTGGGGGCCGCGGGGGCAGCGGGCAAAGTCCGGCCGGGAGCTCCTCGGGGACACGGCCGGGTTGGTGCAGCCCGGCAGCGGGATGGGGCGGGGGCTCCGGTGCCGCTCCCTCGCCTCAGCCCCGGCGGGGAGGCCTCGCCGGGAGGCAGCGGCGCGTCGCCTCAGACGGGAGCGGCACGAAGGAGCTCGGGGTGATCCCCGGGGAGGCAGCGGGGAGGGCTCCGCTGCGCGCTGTGGAGAGCTGCCGGCGGGGGCGGGACACCCCGCGGCGGGCCCGTAGGCCGCCGGGCCGCCAGGGGGCAGCACCCGCCGGGTCTGCCCGGCTCTTCCGGCGGCGCTGAGTCAGTGAAGCGGCGGCGGCGGCGGGATGCGGGCCTGGGCAGCGGCGCTGCTCTGCGCGCTGCTCTGCGGCCTGGCGCGGGGCTCCGAGGACATCGTCGTGGGCTGCGGCGGCTTCGTCAAGTCGGACGTGGAGATCAACTACTCCCTGATCGAGGTGGGCGCCGCCGCCCCGTCCCTCCCCTCCTCTCCCCTCGCCTCAGCCGGCCGGGGCCGGGAGGGCCGCCCCTGCGCGCTCGGGCTGCGGCGTGAGTTCAGCCGCTTCGCCTCGGCCGCTGCTGGAGGTGCCGGGTCGCGGCGTGGTGGTGTCGGTAGCAGCGGGGCTCTTCTGTGGGCGTCTCCTTCCCGGCCCTTCGCCGGCTCTGCCCGGCAGGGTGTAGCCTTCTCGCAATCAACCGTTTCCCTGTGAGCCCCCGGGGACACCCGAGTGCTGCTGTGCCCAAAGCGCCGGGGTAGGGAATGCCAGCTTTCAGCCCTGCTCCCCTTTTTTTAAAATACCTTTTTTTCCTTTCTTTCTTTTAGATTAAGTTATATACAAAACATGGTACTCTGAAATACCAGACAGATTGCGCTCCAAACAATGGGTATTTCATGATTCCCCTCTATGATAAGGTAAGAAGCTGGCATACCTGTGCTGTCTGTCAGAGGCAGGAGCAGCCTCCACATCCTCCTCCACCTGCACATCTGCTGGCAGATCAGACATCAACAGCACCAACCCATGAAACGTTTGAATCAGGACATAATTTGGACCAAACGTTCAGCTGTTTATTTTTGTACTCCATATTTTATTTCTCAGTGCTAAGAATTATCATGAGAAAAGGCAGCTTTAGCTGTGGTGTTGCGTTTGTGCTGTTTGGCTGTAGCACTGGGAGCCTGAGTTACTGCCAACAGCCCCGTGCTACCAGCTGTACAAACACTGCACAAAAAGTACAGGATCCTACGGGCTACAGATAAAGCTCTCGTTATCTACCCATAGAAATGAAAATAAATCTGTACGAGAATGTGTTTTGATATGACTGAATTGAAAATAACTTGAATGACTAATTGAAGGTATTAAAAATGTCTTAAGAAAATAATGATACAGGAAGCTCGGAATGTGTCAGAAGTTTTGTGTCTATTTAGACTGGAAAGATGTTTACATTCAAATGAAATACAAGCTGCCCTCAGGTGCTCTGTTTTGCTCATTTAAAGAACTAGTGAACCTAGGGATCAGAAATAGAATCATAGAATGATTTGGGTTTGAAGGGACCTTTAAAAGTCATATTTTCCCAAGTCCTTCACTTCCCAATCTAAGCATTAATGTGCTTTCTAATCTCAGTGAGTTCATTCTTACGTCTTTGAGCCTTTCCTGAAGTTGGATGAATTTCAGAACATATGTGTGGCAGAATGTATGTGGAGCCCATTGATTTAAAGAGGATCTCTGTGTAGATTAATACCCTTTTGGCGCAAAGCTTTTAATAGGATTGAAGTTTTTTTATCCTATGTTTGGGCAGAGTGGTTGAGTAGGAGCTCCTGGTGCAAATACTAAAGGCTGATTTAGAGCACATCTGTTGGGGCAGGTAGAGATAGATTTGAACACTTTCTAACGCTAAGCTGCTTGAACACAAGCCAGGTTTGGTCTGGAAGCGGTTTAAACATGATGATACTTAGTTTTTGCTCCTAGCTGGCTGGATGTGAGCCCAGCATCCCAGCCTGTCTGGGTAGATGTTGCTGCTGCTTTGAACAGAGTATCTTGGGCAGGAGGAAAGGAGAACAGGCCACTTGAATCTTGTGTTACTCTCTGCAGCATGGTGCTTGTGTTCTGACTTTCTTTTTTCATCCTTTAGCTAAATTGAATTTACATCAGTGAATACAGTTATTACTTTTTTTTTATTTTTAGGGGGATTTCATTCTTAAAATTGAGCCTCCCCTAGGGTGGAGTTTCGGTAAGTGCCCTTATGTCTTCTTACAGTAGGACAGTGTATCTGCAGTGTGGAACTTAGATACATCTAACTTGCAGTTAGCAGGAAAAATCAAGCGCTTCTCAAAAGAGATAATCCCTACTGTATGGTTTTAATAACTAAAATGTGCTTATTGTACCAGAGGAAAATAAAGCTATGATGCAGACACTGACAAAGTAACGCATGAGCTGATTTGAAGGAATTGGGGTTCTGACAGAAATGGCTGCAATGGGAGGGGGAAAGAGGATTTTCAACATCAGGATTTGTGGATGCTTTAACTTTGCCAAGGCAAGACTTCCACGACAACATATTTATGCTTGAGTTAATGCATTTTTGTAGAGCTAAAGTAAAATTGCTTCATGACTGCTCTCTCACTAACTACCACACTGTTTCATTGTTCTTCCCCTTCAGAACCAACCAGTGTAGACATCCATGTGGATGGCATTAATGACATTTGCACAAAGGGAGGTGACATTAACTTTGTGTTCACAGGGTTTTCTGTGAATGGAAAGGTTAGACTCCTTTATCTTTATTTATTCCATCTTATGCTAATTTTACTTTCATAAAAACATTCTACTTTGGCTCTGCAAGTTATTTTTATCCACTTATACTCTGGTTTCTCCTCATTTTGACAGGTTCTCAGCAAAGGTCAGACATTAGGTCCTGCTGGAGTCCAGGTTGTACTGAGAAATGCCGGCAGTGACATAAACATACAAACAACTACTACACAGCCTGGAGGAAAGTGAGTGTGGGTGGTGCATACTGTTCATTTATACAAGATTCTGTCAATTCTGCCATACCGACTGGGATTATAGTACTTCTGAAATATTTTTTCTAATGTATATAGAGTCTGAAATGCTTGTGGCTGTTTCTAAAGAGACGTAACCTCTTTTTTTGCCTTACAGGTTTGCTTTCTTTAAGGTGCTTCCTGGGGAATATGAAATCTTTGCATCTCATCCTACCTGGATGTTGAAAGAGGTTAGAGCCTACAAAAGTTCTGGTTTACCTGTTTAGTGAGGGTGGGTCTTCTAGACCTTGTCTTGGTCAACTAGTGGGAGGAAGGGTTTTTGTTAGTGTACAAGGTTAATGGAGTTTTCATAAATTTAATTTAGGTTGTCAAGAAACTGCCTTGTGCAGGCCCAGTTCGGAGATAGTGGAGCCAGCCAGGGAATGACTGGCAAATAAGGTCATCTAATCCTATACATTTTCCAGGAGCTCGAATATTATAGCAGATGCTGGAATCCTTGCCTCTCAGATTGCTTCCTTTCTGAGGAGCTCAGAGATCCTGGCCAATTCCTAAATCAGTGAAACAGGAAAAATACTGTTTTGCAAAGTGTCGTGTTTTGGATAGCCTGTGGACACTCTTTGAGTACTGCTGCTGTAAATGAGATCTAATGCCTCCTTTTGATGAAAATGTATGTGTTTCTGTATTTCAGTCAAACACGGTGGTGCGGGTGACAAGTTCTAATGCTTATGCTGCTAGTCCTCTGATCGTCGCCGGCTACAATGTTTCTGGGTCAGTAAGGAGTGATGGAGAACCAATGAAAGGGGTCATGTTTCTCCTTTTCTCTTCTTCAGTTGCTAAAGAGGTAATGGTATTTCAGTACCTTTTCAATGTGAGTGTGGACATAAATAAGAAGCGTATAAGTAAATTCATAATGCTGTGTTACTCATCTCTGTCCTTCATTGAGCTTGGCTTATAGAGAACATAAACTATACAACCCGTCAAGCTGCATTTTTTGTTTGTTTTTTTTTCAACATGGCCCTTGTAATACAACATTTGTGTACATGCTGAGTGTTCACATCACCTCCATGTAGTTACTCAGATGTGTAACACAATAGCTATCTGTTTAAATGTTGGCAAAATTGAGATTTAAGATCTACATATTTTTCGGACACAAGAAATTAGAAAATTCTTTTAATTTCAACTCTTTTGAACTCTTCGTTATTGTTTTCAACCAACCAGGTTCCTCAACAGTCAGGCTGTTCAGGGGCATAGATGATTAAGACCTGAACTGAAGCAAGCAATGAGTGCAAAATATAGTAAGGTTCATAGCATGTTATTGATCTATATATTCCCTGTGGGTCAGCAGGGTTAAGGGCTACAATTTTAGGGCAATATTTTTCCAGTTACACCTTTTCGCATGTTAAATGTTGGTTAGTGAATGTCTTCCTTCATGAGGATCACACTCTTCCATGGTGAATTATTGCCACAGGATGTTGTAGGCTGCAATATTTCTCCTGTGGATGGATTCCAGTCAAGAGATGAGTCCCTGTCCTATTTGTGCAATGTTGTATCAAAAGAAGATGGATCTTTCAGCTTTCTTTCTCTGCCAAGTGGTAAATACACTGTGGTGAGTAGCTAGAAAGTTCATTGCTTGTTTATCTGTTGGGTTGTTAACTTCTGTTTTCTAAACTAGATCATGTGTAACTTTGTAGCTGTTAAAACAGAAATAGTTGAAATATTTGAAGTGGGTAAAATAATTGGAATAGGAACCTCCAATCTTAAGTATATGAGAGTCAAGTAAGTTGCTGTGATAGGGCTCTGTGGTGTGGTTTCTGAGGAAGGACTTACTTGCAAATCAGGCTCTGAATTACTGAATACATTGGCCAGTAACAGAACCACTCCTGGAGGCTGCTGGGAGACTGAAAGTTCCAGTTGAC